ACTTCTTTGTGAATAAATGAAATGTAATTTCAAATATCTATAATTTTATAAGGTACAGAGAGGTACAAGAAATATCCATGAAAGAGCTGACAAAATTCCACCTCCTTCAAACATACAAAGGTTCATTTTTTCCTGCGATTGGAATGACCGTATAGTTAAGAATTTCCAGACTTTGTCCTTGCTCTTTTAGTACTCAGGATATATGTCATTATAGCTGTGTTACAAATCAACACACTACTCACATGACAATCATTTCATAGAGGAAATTTGCACTCTGGACACTTGACATGTTTACATGTTGTGCCAAAATTAAATTTTCATTCATGAATTAGACCTGCTCGTGTACTATCTGTTTTGCATTCATTTGAAAACAGCTTAGACATTTTGGGACTGCATATATCTTTTGGAAAAATCAATATCCATTAAAAACAAAATATCAAATTTATGATTTGCATTGTCAACTAAAAAAATCCTTTTGATATAACAGCTCTGGCTCTCCCAAACATTTATATAGCAAGGAAATAGTGCCACGGCTTTATTTACTGGAAAATTCTTCCATGCACATGCCGGGGATCTTTTGGAAATAAAGACGATCATTGATTGGTTGAATTTTATTAAATATATAAAAATTTATCAATTGACACAAGAAGGAGAAAATAGACAAATTTATTTGAAAACAGTTATATTTGTTTAGATTAATGTGTACAACAAACTTTCAATTTCTGTTTTGAAAATTATCAATGCAATTGCAAAATAAAGATGTGTTGCTTTGGGACAGAAAATTCCGACTTAATATAACTAAGCATGCAAACAATTTTAGCATGAATATTTTATAGTTATAACTTTTTCAAACACACTCTAATTACAACAGTCAGCATAATAATAACAAAATTGGAATTCAAGGGTTTGACACATATGTACTTGCAACAACCATTATACATTGCAAGTAACTGCCCTGGCAATGACTATTATACATTGCAAGTGACTGCTGGGAATATCAACATATTGGGTTGGGAAATAAAATAAACTTTTTTGGAATATTAAGTTTTACACTAAACCCCAAATATAGTTGATCAATAGCACAGAAATAATTTTAGATTCTAATCTAAAACCTTTGAATATAGAAAAATATTCATCTTTTCTATTAAATTAAGAGATCAATGCAAATTTATCTGTTCAATATTGTACTGAAAATAGCCCTATCTGATCTATTCCTGACCCCCAAATATAGTTGATCACAGTTTATGTTATGGTCAATGACAGAAATAATTTTAGTCACTTCTATTTTTGGTCAAAGACAAATAAAAAAAATAAATTTAAGAGATAAATGCAAATTTATCTTTTCAATATTGCACTGCATCTCTCTGAATGTAGCCCTATCTATTTAAATATGAGATTAATGCAAATTTATCTGTTCAGTATTGGACTGAAAATTTTTATATAGCCAAAAGTTGTTATGAGCCCTATCTGGTCACAATCAATTCAATAAGTGGTTTTAAATATGTTGTAATATAAAACATAGATACAAATCGTGTAATAATTAACTCGTGGGCCGCTATTGGTTTTCTAATTTTTGGATATAATCCCAACTTTTGGTCAGCTCTTTGGGTTTATATGTAAAACATGCAATTCCTCTGGGTCAGGTACATGTAATATCTGCATTGTTTGCCATTTTTCAGCCATTATTTATAGGTTAGACTGGAATAGAAGAGTAGTGATGGTGAGGAGTACTTTACTAATAGGATGGGCACAGCCACTTTTAGTACCAGCTATACTGGTGAACATTATATGGGACATCATATTGTAAAATGTACTCTATTCCTTTATTTAAATATTATACTCTTAGTATTAAGCTGAATTCAGATAAAATGTAAATCCATTTGCAAGCTAATTCAAGGACAAAGTAAATCCATTTGCAAGCTAATTCAAGGACAAAGTAAAAATTTATGGAACAGTTGGATCTCCTGTATTACTACTACCTAACTCAGGGTATTTATAATGTTGTTAAATTTTAGATTTGCATATTTTAAAATTTGGAAAGAGTAATGCACACTAGTCTTGGTGTTTTTAATGCAAACTCAATAAATATTGCAAATACTGTATTGTAAATATAAATACTGTTTTCAAACTCTTCTATTGCAACCTAATGATGTATATCAGTAGTGGTCAAGTATTTCATGCTGGTTTTTGAAGCTATACAGTCCTAACTGCACCCAGATGCAATGCTACCATAAATCAAATATTTTAAGTCCTTTGCAGTAAAGTGCTTTGAGCCAATGAATTTTATGCATTAAGATGATGTTACAAATAGTATTTTCCTTCTTATTTTCCAAATTCCCTCTATAATTACCAAGACTAATGGGTGTAATTTTCTTTAACATATAACATGTAAACAGTATCTACACAATGTTTCTGCTTCATCTCCATTTCCAAAATGTACTTAGTTTCTACAGACAAAGCTATCCATCTATTTTGTATTATTTATCACTCTTCCAACCATTCTTGAGATCCCTGTCTGATAACCCCCCCTCCCTCATCAGCTTTCATATTTATTTATTTTAAAATCTTTTAAGAGCATCATCTCCAATAGCCCCCCAGACCTGTCAAACCAAGTGATCAATACCGATCAAAAAGTGCAGAAAAGCAGGCATCTATTGATTTCCGAGTCAGCCCTCCTAAAAGCCTTATCTACCAGGCAGCAATTACACTGGCAGAGAAGGGAAACTTCACACATTTAGTGAATCATCCCATCTGCTTCCAGGTCTCTGCCAAAAACCTCAAGACACCAACATATTCCTTGCGTTTCACTTTTTCTTCCACATTAAAATATTCTGGCATTATTCCGAACAGCTACACCCAAATTTTAAGTCTTCCTTTTTATTTTTTTCTCTTTTTTTCCGGGGTTAATTGAAAGAATCTATATGCTAATTGACATACATATGCATTGTGTACCTTCTTCATTTTAATGCTAAAATTCTATTACCAGTGTGAAACAACAAGATACATTAATAGATTCCACCCAAAAAATTTCGCCTCTGCAAATTTTCAATTCCTGTTCACATTAGCATACCAAATCTTTCTGAAAATAAGAAATGAATTCGGTGAATTTTCCTGAATATAACTACGATAACTGCGAAATTTAAAAGCCTGGGATAAAAGTCCGTAGCAAATTCCCATTACAATAAACACCTACAATAAGGCCTGTTGTATATTCTTTTTTCCTGCCAGTACGAAAACACACTGAAAGGTTTATTACTTTATTGACTGTCAAAAAGTGTGACATGTTTTGGGAAAATAGTCCTCAAGTGTCACAAATAATCTTTTAAAAGAGGCACATCCTTCAAGGCTTTGAAAACCCAAACTAAGGATAGGTGACTTGCAGACATTTTCTATGCAGACATACTTCTTCAAAAGTCTGCTCGATTTCCTATTGATTCACCAAAGCTGACCAATATGTAGTCAGTACTGTCCTGTTTATAGCGTCAACAGTTATATGCTGCTCCTTGAAAAGGAAATAGCATTTTTTAAACGTAACAAAAATCTTACATTATTACAACAGGTAACTGATGTTTGCAAAACATAAGGTAGCAAATTTTGACCATCCTTTTTGTAATTATCCAGAAATTAAGGGAGAGGGGGTGGGAAATACATGCTTGTAGGTCCCAATTAAAGCCTTTAAGGTGTTGCTTTTTATGACAAATTAACTCTTTAATATTTGCAAAATAATTATTAAAGTAATGATATTCCCTCCAGTACCTAGCACCTCCGTATACCCCCAAACACCAATATCTTCACCCATTAGATAAAAGGACTAAATTTCCTTTCATATACACAAGATAAATGCCTTAAACACATACCTAATCTGTGGCCCCCATATGTTTTAGTGCAAAAATAAGGTGTGGTTAGGATTGCAGACAAGCACGGTAAACAGTAATTTAAACCCAAACACAAAGAAGCAAAATCTACCCCTCAATGTCTTCATTATCTGGCTAAGTCACGACCTATGGAACTGTGTATATCTAAAACCTGTCTCTAATAATAAAATTTTTTAACTCAATAACCTCTGTCATTTGGCCTACAATATTAGGCCATCCTTATTGATCTGATATAAAGATGCCTCAGTTTAATTTTAGTCATAATCAGATTTGTGTTCTAGACAATTCCATCCCATTCTCAGACACAACAAAAGATCATCTCTGTATCGTGTTTTTTATACCAAGCCATTTTGTGCAATATAGATACCTCACTTTGCAAATTTGAATCAATTTGATCCATTGAACATCATCTATCTTTCAAAAACAATCTGATGCTCGATCATGCAATTTGCAACAGAGAGGTTAATAAAAGGGTTGAGATTTTGCAACACTGTAACTTTAGTAATTTTTAGGAATTTGGTTCTGTCTGCAATGAGAGTTGAAGAAGAGAGGAAAGAAAACAAACAGGTGGGATAAAAATCAAATTCAACCAAAAACCGAAGGAAAAGACCATGCTGTTGGAAACAGTCTGCATTTGAGTCTTGTAATTTCACATCATTAGTACATATATCAACCTAATAAAGATCTAGCCTGGATCAAGTTACCCAATTTTTTTTTTGGTTTGAAACAAATCGAACAATACATGTATTTTCCAAGAAGTGGCATTCATTGACCCCTTTTTCCCTGCAATCTGATTTTCTTTCCACAGTACATCTGCACTTACTAGAACCCTCATTTTCAATGTGCAGACTCATGTCTCTCAGAGTTTACAGGATCTGATGGAAAAATATTGATGTCTTTCGAAAAGAATCAATACCAATTACATCATATCAGACAACCCTCAAAGAACAATACCGCAAAAGCATGGCATCCATATTGGAAAATTGTCATTTTTAAAACAGATCATATATTGTTGCTTGTACACAAGTATAGGGTCAAAATCTGGGTATATAATACACTGTGATTTTTTTTGGGGGGGTAGAGATTTGTAAAAACACATGCATCGGAGGGTATAGATATACATACCATAACCTCCATTGTAGCCCGAATACTCCTCGATACAGATGCTGCACATGACTTTTGGCACCATGTAACCACCGGCGCAATCACTCGGACACTTCATCAGTGTAAATTCCAGTCATGTAATTACACAATTCCTCCGTCTTTGATTGAATGTTATACAATTGGTTAATTATTCTGCACTTCCTGGCGGTCCTCCTAATTTTTGTCAGAATATATATATCGTATAACTCCTGGGGGATTGGAACAGGTATTTTATGTTATATACTGGTAGTTTAGGTGAAACAACCAAAAAAAAATTGTTGGCAATCGTTTAGAGCCAAAAAACCACCTTTTTTTTTCAACACAGACAAAACAGCTACCACATGGCTGCCTCCAGAACTTAAAGACTTTATGTAACTTCCAATTTCCTCTGCTGATGCATGACTGCAATTAATATATTCAGAATAAAAAAAACTCTCAAAATTCCAGGTACGAATACGATCACATATAGTTAGGAAACATTCCGCAAAATCCCCCCCTCAATAAATTCCTTGATAATGAACGTAAACAACATGTAATACACATGATCCTGGTACTTATCAATCGATCAATGGCCTGCTCCACCGATCAGCAACAGAAAATTCAGCTCTATGTTTGAATATCAATTTTTTTCATATTACAAGGCAGTTTGCGAAAGAAGAAGGAGAAAAAAATGCACAATAAATTTTCCAGGACTACATGAAAAGCTCTTATCAATTTGCCCAAAGTATTATCATATTCTTCATAAATAATAAATGAGATTGTTCCAAGAATAAATTTTTCATGATCAAAATTTTTTTAAAAAGGTCTAAATTTGTATTTCCTGTTAGGTTGTACATGCGTTTATATATAAGCTAGATAAAACGTCAATGAATGAACTTATTCATCCAGAATATATTCCATTCATGATTTGGCCCTAAATTGAAAGATTTTAAATACTGTGCATCTAGATAGATGCATTGATTACCTGCGTCACTCAAGTAAACCAGTTTTCCCTCCAAATTAACCATCCATATGGTGTAAGTTGACAACACAAGTAGAAAAGCTTAAAATCTCTTCACAAGTGTCTGGCTATCCCGTCACATTTGTCTATTTGATCGGTCGAGCATCCATCACATGGACAAACTATATGCGTACGTGTATATATATATCTGATATGTATATTTCACATCAGTGTCCACCTGTGTCGCTATTGTCCGAAGAAATTCCTTGGAGCCCAGATTACCTTAGGTCGATAATTCCTGTAATCTTGACACTTCATCAGATTTAGATAAAAAGTTAAGCATAAAGATTAGACTAAAAGATGAGAATAATCTACCGAATAAACATCCAACATTTAACGTTCACTCAGGTGGGGTTCCCCTCGATGATTTCGTGCATGAATCCACCTATCCTGACCTTTGACATGACAATAGATTATTTTGGGAATGTCATGCATGACTGCTCCATTACCTGTACACCAAAAGGCATTACTCTCTGCCCTAATTTTCCCTTCTTTAAATATACAGTTAACTTTTTGGTAATCCAAAACAGATTAAGAACATGGACAACTTGTTGCCCTCAGTACACTTCTAGCAATGAACTGTCGACACCTACTATGTGTACATGTACTGCATTTCATAACATACTGCCGTTATGAAAGCCCCCTCTTCTTGTGACCTAGTTAGAGAGGTCAAGAGCAGATTCGGATCAGCTGACTGACAGAGCACATGATTTCTCTCAACCCTCAAACACTCACTTTTGGGTTATAGACAGGGGAATCCCCTTGGCTGCCGGAATTTTCAAATGAATTGATTGTTTGCCAGGATTCTGAGCGATAAACAAATTATGATACATCCTAGAAAGACTGACTAATGCAAATGAGGCTTTGCTGCCAAAAGCTCTTCGTTCTTGACTTTATAAAAATACCAATTTTCAGAGGTTCCACCTAGTGCTTTTGATACCACACTCCAGCGTATAACCACCTTGGACGTCTTTCTTGTACAATTTGCATCATGCCTTAAGTATTTTTCTAAACTCATGATTCTAGCATGTATACCGAAAAACATTATTTATTACAGCTAAGCATGCTTATAATGAATATTTGCTTACAGCAAAGTCATTTTGCATTCCCTTTGGTTTTAAATGTATCATAAACTTATCAGATATAACGAGTTATGATTATAACAAACCAAAATTGTTTGTTTCTAGTGGCACTTGACTTTAAGATTGCTTAACAGGCCTGCTGAAGTCAAATTCCAAGATGGCATAAAAAGTGCATACCAAATACCTCAACAGTTATTCAGTTACAGTATCACATGCAACATAAATTCTTAAAAATTCTAGTTTTTTTTTTCAACAAAATAGTGGGAGTACTGCTAATTTCTGGGAATTTCTTTCTTAAGTGTATGCCAACCCTTTCATTTCCTTATCATGTTTACAAACTTATTTTGCAATTCCAATTATAAAGTGGATAGAGTGCAGAGATTTATAAGAACTAGATATGTCTTTTATCTAATTAATCAAGTAATCGCTCATTCACGAAGTCCCAATTAACAAGAATACAATTAGCATTGTATCATGCACAGACAGGAGCAAATTATGCAACAATTCAGAAGAAGAAAGTACAAGTTATTCCCCTTTGCACAGTCTGGCAATGAAACTTCAACACCTCATGATATTCACTACATTTCAAATTCAGGTACACAGTACTTCTACCAAACTGAAATCATGATTGCACCAGGTCAAGTATTTTATGTAAATGGAAAAAAAATCATAACTTATTTATTTATTAAAGTTCCTTAAGGTACCAGTTTATATTATCATTATTTTTTAGTAAAAGGACAATTTGTTTCTTACCTTTCAGAAAGTCCTGAGGACTTTGCATATTTGAAATCATTGTTAAGAATATTTGTTCAAACATTCCTCAAACTTTACTCTTTGTGGCATTTCACAGAAAAGGTACCACAAATATTATCGCAAACATACTGAAATGTCGCAAGTCAGTTTTACCAAAGAGTAGGTTCTCAATGTACCAGTACAAATGTTATATTGATGGCACCAATTCAAAATTATGAATTTTAATAAGCCCCCAAAAAATGATTTGGAATGTGAGCTGAAATGAGGCATGGACTTCACTAAATATAAGTCAAAGGTCAAAATTTTAGGCATCAAAGGTCAATGTCTAATTCTGAAATATTAAAAATAATTCCCAGACTTCAATTTTAAAGTTGTGACTTGTACAGATATAAATGCATCACAAATTGTTAAGTATACATTTTTTTTAAATGAGCAGTGTTTTCCCAGAAAAATGAAAACTATCCTCTCCCATTATCATTCACCTGGGTGGCCAACGTGAACACTTGGTGTATACACAAGCTCTTGGAATGGGAGGTCAAAGTCAGATGCCACAGTTAAAAAGTTTTCACCAATATATCTAAGTGCATAAGCTTTCATGAAAATATCTTGAATAAGTTACTTCAAAACTGAGCTATTAAACACAACAGAGGGAATGGTGAGGTCAAGGTCATCAAGAAGGTCATGCAAGATCAGAAAAAACTAGATGGAGAGAGGGGAAGAAAATGATGGATGGATTTAGGACAAGATGGACATGAGAAATAAAATATGCTCCTTCCTTATTCATGGCGGGGGGGGGGGGGGATACAAAAATTGTGTAAAATGTTATAACCTTCTCCGATATGTCACTGATAAACCTTTCTGAAGTTTGAAATGAAAGGAAAACACTGTGTATCGTGAACTCCTGTGATAAGTCTGAGGTAATAAAGGCAAAATGTGTGTGTGTGTGAAAAGGAGCAGAAAAGATAGGTCAAACAAGGGTCTGGACCTATCTGTCTTAATTAACATTTTGTGCCTTTTTTCCTGTTGAGAAGAAGTGAACCTCAAATTCAAACCTATCAGGAGTCAGCCGATTTCTTACAAGGGATGTTTTTTTTTGTGTTGTATGTACTTTAGGAATTAAGAAAACTACACACATACACCAGATGTTCCTTTTCAACTAGTGTTCAAAATGCCCATGGGTTATTTAGCTGACATCAAAAGAACCCTCTGAGTTCTTGAAGATGCTGAAATCCCCCACTGTTCAATGAAATATCAGAAAGAATATTTATAGAAAAAGAAAGAAAAAATGTAAATGACATATTACTTTTTCCAGTCATTAAAACAAAAATATGAAGTCTTTGTGTGTCAGACACACAGTACCCTTTCAAGTTCATAATCATTTCAATATATAGTATCATATGACACTTTTAGGTATACTTTTATAACATATTTAATAAAACCACATGTTAATTAACAATACTTGAAAGCTTCCTTGGCCTGCAGCAGATCATACATTTTCATATAATTTCACACTTAAATCCACATCAAATGTATTGTAAATAATTTGTGACCTTCAAGAAAAAATCTGCAACTTTATAATACCGTATAAGTAGAATTTTTAGCGAGGATTTAATTTTGGCATTATTAGCGAGGGTGCCAAGATCACTAAAATTGAATATCACTAAAAAATAATTGCACTTAATTTGTAATAGCTTCTTTAGTGAGCTTTCTAAAATCGCTAAAATTATATATCGCTAAAAATAAAATACCAATTTTTAAGGACAATCGCTAAATTTGCATCTCGCTAAAATTTCCACTTATACGGTACCATTTCTTTACCGTAATAGGATTCTATTTAGGAACAAAGAGATAGAAAATGGTAAGTTCATGAAAGGTAAAATCCCATGAATCAGATACATATCATGATGCAGTCCTCCTGTGTCATGATATATCATGGTTTGGCATAGTTGAGGAAGTTCTTAAGCAAAGTTAGATAACTCTGCCTGTTCCAAATCCCAGTTGAAATGGACATTTTTCAACAATAATATACTGCACATCAAAATTAAGACAAACTCATGGTATCATAATAATTTCCAAGTCCTTTGAAAGTAATGGTACATGTTACCAACTCACAAAATACAATATGATATGAACAGAATTAAAACCCAACACTAACACTAACTGAGTTTTACAAGAGGCCCATGGGCCTTATAGGTCACCTGAGTATCATGCAACAACTTTCCAACAATTGAATTTGATTCATGTTTTAAACCAGAGGCCATGAAATTCACAATTTTGAAAGAGGCACCATTGCTTATCACAATTATACACTCAGCATGCTTGCTTTGGTTACTTAATACCCAGGGGTATCTCAGAGTAACAAAGAGAAAATGCATTTTCCACATTATCAGTTTTGCACCCCATCCCACAGGAACCACTGACCCTGGGGCCACATCTTTCAAAATTTTGGAAATTTTATAAATTTTATTTCATCATATTGTTCATTAATACCAAAGTGCAGATTTCAAAGCATTAAATTATTTTCAGACTATGTACCCCCTCCCCCCAAGTACCTCTGTCCCTGGGGCCAGGAAATTAAGTATTTTTGGAAGAAGCACCTTTCTTCGTCATAAATATATACTAAGATCATTGGCATAATACCCAGGAACCAAGTAAAAGATTTTGAAAGGATTCGTGCATTTTCAATATATAAATATTAGAGCCCCGCCCTTACACAAGAAGCCCTGACCCAGGGGCCCTGAAATTCACAAATCTCAAAGAGGCACCCTTCCTCCTCATAACTATGTACATAGTTCATTGGTTTAATACCCAGGTGCAGAAAAGATTTTTAAAGAATTTTATTTATGCATTTTCACTATATAATCAATAGAGCCTCAACCTAACACCAGAACCCCCAATCCAGGGGCCATGAAATTCACAATTTTGGAAGCGGCAGCCTTATTTAACAAAATTATGTACTTATTTAGTTTATTTAATGCCTAGGAGCAGAGAAGAAGATTTTCAAAGGAATAATGCATTTTCACTATATAATCTATTTAGCCCCGCCCTAGCACTAGAACCCCTGACCCCAGGGCCCTGAATTTCACAATTTTGGTAGAGGACTCAATGCTGATTACAATCATGCAAATAGTTTGACTGCTTGATGTCCAGGAGTAAAGAAGAAGATTTTTAAAGATTACATTAATTTTAGTGATTTTGGCCCCATCCCTCAGGCCCCAGGGGGGCAGGGATTATGAAATTCACATTTTTGTTCCCCTTCACCCATAGATGCTATATGCCAAATTTGGTTGAAATTGATTCAGTGGTTTCAGAGAAGAAGCTGAAAATGTTCAAATGTTAACACACGACGGACGACGCACACCCGCATGATGACGGACGACAACAGATAGCAATAGGTCACCTGAGTTTACTCAGGTGACCTAATAAAAACTGTATGCATGACATGAATATTATCACATAAAGGCAAACACAACTGCATGTTTTCTTGATATCATGATAAACATTCATTCTTTGCTTAAAATCACGTTTAAGAAAATCGGTAAGTAAGGCAAACTAAGTATTTGTTCATAAGCGATAATGGGTTTTTTATAAAGAAACGAAAAGAAATGTCTCCAAAACATGCTGAAACAGAACTTTTTCAGATTTAATAAGAGACTGGTATTGATTTACATAAATGGTTTCTCACACCCCCACAACCTCACGATTTTAATTCAATCAAGCAATCATGTCTGGTAGTAATAATCTAAGGTATTTTCCATCCTGCTGAACTTTCACAAATACGTAGATGTAATCAGAACGTCACAGCAAGGTGTCAACATCTTCCGAGCCTCTCGATGACCATCAATTGACATACGACCCTCAACCCACGCACCAGTAATCACTTCCAAACATCTTATTTCTGAGAGTA